CTCCAGTAGTAGAAATCTTGGACGGGAGGATATGAATGGAGTCATGGGCGATGCATGGTCACTAGAAAAATCCATGTGGAAGTGCGGCATCATGTGAGTGACGCCCAGGATTTGGCCGGGAGCCTGAGACTGTTCAAAGTACCAATGAGTGCAACTTTCCACGCTTTATCGCATTCCGATCGTGTTGACTTTCAGCGATCTCTTTTTCTCTAGCATATATATTCTTCTTGTCGTTTGACTTTTCAAACTTCTTGTGGTGATCCGCTCATGAGTGGAACGGACTCAACTGATGAAGCAAAAAAAAAAAAAAATTGTGTCTTGGTTGATCCCCTACGCAACAGGAGAGGGAGTCGTTGAGCCAGATTCTCTTTTTTGTTTTGCGCCTGACGTTTCGTCCTCTGCAAAGCAAAAGCAAAGGTGGGGATTTGTTTGGGCAATAGCATCTATAACCGGACATGATAAATACGCCTTCTGTATGTCTGCAACACGTCTACGGACGGTGCCCGATCATATCTCAAATAATAATTTTCACAGTTGAACACGTCAACTATGAAACCTCAAATTCATACAATTACATGCCACGTGAAACCTAATTTAAGCGGAGCTCGTCCATCTCCGTCGTGTCCATGTGCGGCGGCCAGCTGCGCCCCTCGGAAGTGTTGGTCCGGTTGCTGGCGAGGTAGAGTAGGACATGTGACACGCACCGGCTAATGAGACTCGAGGCGATGTTGTCTCCCTACTCTTCCTCATCGGAGCCCGTCGCTTGCACGTCGCCGGTGGATGTGAGGTCGACGACGAATCCATTGTGGTCGTAGGTCACGTCCACCATGACGCGGCTATGGCGCCCGGGGTTGCAGGCCACGGCCACTGGCCACCCGTCTTGGCGTCGGAGTGTGCGACTCCGCCTCGTCGATGCCAGCCGCGAGGGTTGTCGCGGCCTCCCACGCCCTCTGCCTCGCACGACGGGCACACCGCGTCATACACTCAGCGTTACGGATGACCACGTCGTCAGCGCGCCAATGAAGGGGTTGCACGTCCACCATAACATTCGGACACAAGACAAAGCGCACTGCCTCAGCAAGGTATCAACGACCTGCCTCGCGCTGGATCCACGCGCGCGGATGCAATGGATTCGCGGTGGATTGAGTCCGAGCGTTGTCGGGCATTCACCTCATGGGCGCGACGGAGCACAATATGGACGGCTATCCCAGTTCACACATCGGTTAACAGAGGATTAAGATCCGTTGCCCAGCATGCCGAAGAAGGGCGAAGGAGAGTGGAGTAGAGTGGAGTGGCTAGGATCTGATCCGGCAACTGGATAGAGTTTAATATATGTGGGGTCGAAATGGATCAGTATGGGCCAGATCCGATTTAACAATATTAGAAGTGTCGGTCGGCCCGAAAGATTGAGGCTGATTTCAAGCGTCCCAGGATTTTTTGATCGGTCACTGATCGAGTCATCCGCCGCGGGAAGGCACCTGACGTGTGCTGCTCCCGGAGATGGGGCATCTGCCCCCGAGCCTCACGAGGACAGAATTATATGGCCACGCCTAGTCTTGGCCATGGGCAGCCCGGCCCGGTCGGCCTGGCCTTGTCCGCGGGCCGGGCTTGGGCCTAGGTTTTGAGCCCGAAGGATGGGCTGGGCTAGGCCCGGGCCCGTCATTTTTGTTGTTTAATAAATAGGCCCGACCCATGGCCCGAGGGGCTTTTAGCGTGATGGGCCGAGCTCGGGCCCGATTTTTAGGCCCCTCAGCCAGGCCGGGCCAGACTCGGGCCTGGGTTTTTGCGTCGGCCTTTGGTTGGCCCGGCCCGAGGGATGGCCAGGTATAGCCACGCCCTTTTGTCATCCCTGTAAACCGCACTCCGAGTTAATAAAAGGTTTGGTTTACTGCTTAAAAAAACCTCCCCCGCAACTCCTATCGCTAATCAGAATGGCAAAAAGTCCGTGACAAGACGCACGTCGGGATCTTCTACTAGTACGGTGCAAGGTTAGGCATGAGCAAAGTTCAGCGAACGAAGAAACAGCCAGCGACGTCGCTGTCTGCCGATATACATGGGCGGGTCCATCGTATTGTACAAAGATCGAACGAAATCCAACGGATAAAAAGGTTGAGGTGACGCGTCCGGTCCGTCTGACTGATTAGGCTCGGTCGAGCTTGATTTTTCCGCCGGGCTCGTTTGCCCGATCATCTTTTTGAGCATCAGTACAGACACACGCGAAAAGCCGTCACCGGTAGTATCTTCTACGCAAACGTGTACTACTACTGCTGTGTGTACGTAATTTGGACGCCTCGCTCGTTGCTACTATCGCGGCACAGTGGTCTGATAATTCTCAGTCATAGAAAAAACTGATAACGATGGAAGAGCTTTTTGTTGGTACGCCACTTTTGTGTTGTACACAAGGGCTTTTTGTCAAATGTGCCTGCATAAGATATTGCATTGTTTTAAGTTGGTATGGCATCTCCAACGCTGACCCTTAAATCTTCCGCAACCGTCCCTGGATCACGGAAGGCATTCGATACGGCCTTGTATCAGGCCGCGGCCTGGATCTGACGCGTTTTCTTTCGTAAACTGGAGACAAACATAGGGAATGTTTGAGGGAGTCCAGACCGATGTGCCTGATTCTGACCACCTAGCCCGTTCAAACCCCTCCTCCCTCGCCGGCGTGCGTTTCGGTCCAGCACCCGCATTCATGTCGTTGTAGAGTGCGCTGCTCAACATTGAAGACAGCTCAGGGCGGACGCGACTCTCTAACTGCCTCCGCCATTAAAGCGCCGACCGGCCGAGGGCGTCGCCTGCTTTACGTCCGACTGAACACGTCCCTTCGCAAACATTCAAACGCCTCCATTAACCCTGCATGGAAGCCGAGAAACCTACTTCGGCCATACGTCCGTTCATGATCGGGCCGACAATAAACGCAACGCCGGGCAGACTCCTCACATCTGCCCTATATATAAACCAGGTCTGACACCAGGCAAGAATCGCACCATTCCGTCGCTCCCCATCTCCTCCTTCCATAATTTTCTCCAATCTTTCGATAGGACCCGACGAGCCGGAAGAGTATTTCTCCAGCATAAAAGCCAGATGAGTGACCCGCCGAGCCGACCAGATACGAGCGAGGAAGCTTGCTACTGCACCTTCCTCGCCTAGCCCGACGGAACCAGTTGCCGCCCCAAGCCGGCACGTGGTTCAACAACTCGTCACTCCAGGCCAGCTCGACGAGGAGTGGCGAGTTGCTCCACGCGGGCACGACGAGGAGCACGACGGCACGGGCATCAACGCTGTCGTCGACGACGTCACGTCGTCCCGCGCCCGCGACCGCACCATGCAGGCGGAGACAGAAGCCGGGTGCGCGGAGGTTGACGAGTTGGTGGCCAACGCGTCCTTGTTCGTCACCATCATCGAGGAGAAGTAGAACACGATGACGGCCGCCGCTTGGGTCCCATGAAGGCCACCGCCGAGGCACCGCCAGTGTCTTGCCCTCCCGCCAGCCACCGTCGTCCCCTTACCCAAGAACCAACTTTGGTCCGTGCAGCGTAGGGACCCTTCCCCTCCGGCTGAAGCATGAGGCGGCGATTCCACTTCGATGAGCGGTGGGGAAGCAAACTGTCCTTTGCACTAAAGCATATACCTCCGGAGCTCACCGCTGCTTGTCATGGGGACGACGTTGGAGACCCGCCGCGCCGGCCGTAGACTAGTCTGGTTTCATTTTTAGTTGAAAATATGTTTAAAATGTAACGGTTTTCATTTAGATTATATGAAATCCGTCATGTTTATATGAAATTCAGCCTTGCATGAATTTCACCTGGTCTATTGAAAAAGAGTGAAATATATGCGGCTATGGTTGGATGTCATCCTCCCGCATCCATGTCCCCGACTGGTCCCCCTATCTACGGACGGATACGAAAGAAAATTTACGAGCTTCCGTTGGAGATGCTCTTATAAGTCAACTCGCGAAGGCTATGTTGCTTGCTAGTACTCCCTCCATTCCATAATGTAGTGCTTCCTCTGTCCACGTGCTTCAACTTTGACCGTAAATTTAACTACCAAGACCGATTGCGGCGGAAGCAAAAATTATATCAGTGAATTCGTATTCGAAAGAAGTTTTCAATTATATAATTTTTTCTCCCGCCGCAGTTGGTCTCGTTGGTTAAATTTATGGTCAAAGTTGGACCTCGGGAAGCGCGGGCGCACTATATTTTGGAACGGAGGGAGTAGTACTTAATAATAGTACTAGTACTCTCCAAGGAGTAGAAAAGTTTACCCTGGCCGACATCATCAAACCATTTAAATGAAAAGTGAGAGCTTGTCTTTCAGTATTACACTCACTTATAAATATGCTGCCGGCCCGCGATAAATAAACCCCCAGTACGTGTACACAGTGTAACGTAGCAGTAGAACATGTGCGTTGATTAGATTTAGTTTATTCACTATGAGAAGAACGTGTCATTCAGTATTACACTCACCATGTACTGACTGGATCTTCTAAATTTCATTGGATAGCTCAGCGACGCTACTATCTCATTTTCTGGTTTTGCCGTTTTGGCCTGACTCCTCGCTGAAGGAGAAGAAACGGTCCCGCCCGTTCGACTCGATCAACTGACTCATGCTGGACGTCAGGTAAATCCACGAGCGGGAGTGAGGGGGGTACGTATGATTAAGGCCATGTCTTCGTTTTCCCTGAAAAAAAGACAAAGGCCAAGTCTTCGTTCAAGTTGGCAAAGAATCATCAACCGTTCCACATCTTTTGTTTCCATCATACTCTTTTCTGACGATTACGGGGTTTGGCCGTAAGGGTACTTCTAATGCTGATCGTAAATTTGCTCCCGCATCCGTTCGGAGAGAGAGAGATCAGTCCATGTATACGGATATGGAAACTGACCATCCAACGATACTCGCATATATTTGACCTAAATTTTTTTAGGTCCGCACGTTTAAATAGCCATATATATAGTCTAAAATAGTTTGAATGTTCAAATGCAGCAGTAGTCCGCATATATAGTTTAAAATACCGACGTTTAGCACTGGTCAAGCCTGGAGCCGCCTGACCGACGCCGAGCACCGGGCAACGAGCCTATGCTTCGGGTCAGGAAGGGAGCACGCGTTCTTGACCCATGTCGTACCTGGCCCGACATGCGGCTAAGCAGGCGGTTCCTTGACCCGCGAGGTGAGACCCACGTGCCGGCATGACAATTTTCTTTTTCCTTTTCTTTTTCTTTTTGAACATCCCAAAAGGTCAAAAAATGGCAAAATATATAAATGGCAAAATACCGAGGCAGCCCGTTTAGTTCATGTGTGGTGCCTGGGCCATAAGACAAGGCACATTCGTGCCAGGCCCTTTTACGGGTGGGTCGGCCGGGCCGGCCCGTTGGCCAGGTCTGACTCACCGGGATAAAACTTGAGCACCGTGGAATGGAATAAAGCAACGAAAAAAAAAGCAAACGGACGTGTAAGCTCCACATTAGCAAAGCCGCGTCCGTGCGTATAATAGCGAGCATCCACCCGCACCGCCTCCCCCGTGTTCCCCCATCCCCACTGACGCCTCCTCCGCACGACACACCGGCGCCGCACTCATCGGAGAGGAGCAAGCTCCCGCCCCGGCTCGATCCGATGGCCAACAGCAACCTTCCGCGACGAATCATCAAGGTGAGCTTCCGATCTGATCATCCGAGCACAGATCTCTCCACTCCTCCGATCCGACTCGTCTTTTCTTTTCCCGTGTCTAACTTTTTGGGGTTTCCGCGTGGTTGGATCTACCGCAGGAGACGCAGAGACTCCTCAGCGAGCCAGGTGCGGGTGCTTGTCAATCTGCGGTTTCGGGTGGATAATGGCGAGGTGTTTCATTTCTGGGTGCGATTTCCGCTCTTTGAATGGTTTTGTTTGTGCAGCACCGGGGATCAGCGCTTCGCCCTCGGAGGAGAACATGCGCTACTTCAACGTCATGATCCTTGGTCCGGCGCAGTCGCCCTACGAAGGTTTTGTTCTTCCTTTTAATACACGATAGTGATGTTGTTTGTGATATGATGTGATAACTGTGGGGCTTGGAAGGTACTACGCCCGTTCACAAATATAAGATGTTCTAACTTTTTCTCTGAATCGGATGTGTATAGACACCTTTTAGTGTGTTTGTTCACTCACTTCAGTCCGTGTGTACTCTACATTGAAATATCCAAAACATCTTATATTTGTGAATCGGAGGGAGTAGCAATTAGCGAATCGAGATGACTCTGTTCAAAACCGTTTGTTAGAAATGGTTCTAAAATGGCTGTGTTGGAATTATGGATGGTGTAGGTTGTGCTGTTTGATCAGTCTGGTGATGTGGCCGTGTAAGTTTTAGTTTATTCCTCTTCATGGCAGTTATCATGTTTGATGGGTTTTACGTTCTCTCTTTAGTATGTACATCAGTAATGGATAGATTTTTGCTACTTGCTCCAAGCTTATTTGTAATGGCACACTTATTTCCATGGTTAACATTGTATTGATATGGATGCCACATATTATGCATAGTGTTAAACTGTTAACATATTTGCTTGCTTAAGCCCTTTGGTGTTATTCGAGCCACCGGCATGCCATAGGAAAAAACGTCTCTCATCTTTTAATTATGGAGAATCACTAATTTAGCCTAATGAACTTGTTTCCAATTATGGAAGTGAACTATAGTCGAATATTCTAATTACCAATCTTGGTTGTGTTTGTTTATATGGATTACCTTAATAGCTTATCTTCTGCATGATATATCTGTTATGAAAGGAATGTTTTATGTTGAAGTGTTAGCATTCTATTTTATGGCTGACCGGCTTTCTTACATTGTTCCCCTTTGCTTATCTATTGGGCAGGGGGAGTTTTTAAGCTGGAACTCTTTTTACCCGAGGAGTATCCGATGGCTGCCCCAAAGGTAATAATCTGTAGATGAGATTTGGTTAATGTTATCTACACTTTACATAATTATGTTGTATTCAGAATTGTAGAGTGTGACTTCCTCTTTGGCTAATATGGCTGATTTCTTCTTTGGCTAATATGGTTTCGACTTTCTTTTGCGAAGTTAAGTACTTATGTTCAAGGGCTGGTCAACCGCATTTAGATTACTTCGGTGGGGTTTCCAGCTTTGGATAATCAAAAAAGTGTTTGATAGCTTGATTTGCGTGCAAGTTGTTTGAAGCCTCATGCCTAATTGTTTGTGCACATTTGTTGTGTTACTGTTGACATTCACTATGCTTTCATATGTCCTGTTGTGGTAGTATATTATTGTATCGCTCTCATTTCCCTGTCTAGACAACTTTAGCTGCTTGATTGGACATAGAAATGATGGAGTGTGGAACATGTACAGCCTAAATGCCTAATGATTAACCCGTCAGGACAGCTAATTGGGTTAGCAGAAAGCTCAGAGAAATTTTCACTTGCACTCAGATTCTTTTTGAAGGTTTATGTCAAAGATTATTTCTATATATTAGTCTAGTATAGTTGTCGTGGTTCTATAGGTTGCCTATTCTGATTTTGTATTTCCTTGACTTTACTATGTGATTTTTTATAGAAGGATGAATAAGTAGCACTTAAGTCAAGCAATTGCTACTGGAGTACAGTCTCGCCCTTCCTTTGGTCTCTATAAAACTGCGCGCTGCTACATAGCATTTCTAATGCTTATAATCTTGGCGAACATTTATACTTTGCTTGTTGATAGCGCAGGTTAGGTTTCTGACCAAAATATACCATCCCAACATTGACAAGGTAAGCAGGCATGTTTTCAGTGTTATGTTACTTTCTCCAGAAATGGTTATTCCTTAACGGATTTACCTTTGTAGCTTGGTAGGATATGCCTTGACATTCTCAAGGATAAATGGAGTCCGGCTCTTCAGATTCGAACAGTTCTTTTGAGGTCCTCTCTCTCTCTCTCTCTCATTCTGGGTCTCTGTAAGCTAGCATTTCATAACCTCTTTTTCTGAGCTGTTTCCTTTGCTATGTTTCTCCAAAAAAAAGTATTTATCTTGAGCTTAATTTACCGAATAACCTGTTTGTAGCATTAAATAGATCACCCTGTCTCAGTTTCCGGCACAGTATCTGATTCTCGAGAATTGCTGTTATTTTTATATTTAATGCTGCACATTGCCGCCCTGTGACATTTTTCTGGTTTCAGTATCCAGGCACTCCTAAGTGCACCAAATCCAGATGACCCTCTCTCTGAAAACATTGCTAAGCACTGGAAGTCCAATGAGGCAGAAGCTGTTGAAACAGGTAACAAGTGTGAAAATGTTGTCCCATTTGCCCTTGGGCCATAATATCTTAACTAAGTTCTGTTCTGGCGTTTGCAGCGAAGGAGTGGACTCGTCTGTATGCCAGTGGTGCATGACAACCCCATGCCGCTCTTGATGTAATAACCCATCATACTTTAGCCAGCAATCAAGTGCCATTTTGTTGGTAAGAACAAACTGGAGATGTTTGCGCTGGAAGGGAGTATCTGAATGACTAGTGCTCGAGCTATTTGGTTGGTTGTACACCCGCGTTGGTTGGTTCCCTTCGCCCTGGGGCACCTTCTGACTGATCTGTATCTGATAGAACTTTCTATGCTCCTCCACCACATTACCCTTGTGTAGGAGAAGTTAACAAGTGTCCACATTGTTGAAATTGAAGCTGACTTGTTAATTTGTTCTTGCTCTTGTAGTTTGGGAGTTTGAATACTCAAGGTTGCATCTGATACGCCCAAATATTTTCTCAGTCCCTGCCCTGTTTTTTTTAGCTAGCAGTGACGCGTTGAATTGCTTGCCTCGACGGCTCAAACACAGCCAAATATCGGATGGTTTAGCCGGACCAATCTTGTTTACTGCCAGTACAGGAGCCAATACAACAACCGAGCCCTGCTGCTCGAGTGTGGCAGCGCGTTGCCCGTCAGCGCACACCAGAAACAGAAAGCCACAGCTCGTGCTACGGCGACAGCCGACAGGTTGCAACAAAACCTGCTTGTCCGTCGACGGAAGAAATGTTTCCACCCACGAGAAGGCTGATGTGCGCGGCGACGTACTGCCCTGTCACAGACGGCTTCATTTGCTGTCAGTTTCCACGGAATACGGCCTATATTTATGGCTAGACAGCAGCACTACGCCGTCTCACGCAGGGCGACACACATCAGCACACAGGACTAGCATGCAGTGTACCGTGCAGGTTAAATAAAGGACCCTCTTATCTTGCGAAAGGGGTGACAATAGTGAACGTTTTGGCTGGTAATTTACGTTATGGGAGGGTGACAATTCCTTCAGAAACGCATGGCAACTTCTGAATGAAAAAGAAGAAAATGATTTCTGCGATAAAGGAAGGATTTCCCATCTTTCACCACGTAAACTTGCCATAAAAAAACGTTGGCTTTGCCACCCTCTTCCAAGCCAACGTTCGCCAAATAAATTACGGCAGATAGAAAGTCACAGTATATGCTACAGTCTAGTACAGATACCCTGGGGGCACCCACCGTCAGTCAAGCCGCGGGACGCCGGTAAAACCCGTCATAAGTCTCCTCTCCTCCCTGGAGCGTCTGCCCGACGGTTGGGGTGAAAAACCAGGAGCGCAGGTTCGCTCGCCTGCCCGCTCCAGTGTTTCCGTGCTCCTGTTTGTTTATTCAACACAACGCCAACGCCAACGCTAACGCATCGCCTCAGCTACTTCGGGAGCTGCCGCGTCGTCCGTGCGTGGGGGACCGGCCGCGCACCGCCGCCTCGGCGACCCGGCCCGCCGGACGCCATGGATGCCGGCGACGAGCCCTCCGTCACCCGCTGGTCCTTCCAGGTGACTCGCTGGCCTATGCTATTTCTCCTCCCCCCCCTTTCATGCTCTCCCGTGCTGAGATCTCGTCGTTCCCAATTCGCTATGGCGTGGCCTCCGCGCAGGACTTCGAGCGCTACTACGACGCGGGCCTCGGCATCTGCCGCCAGCCCAAGGGCGACGGCGACGACGACGACAACGCGCCGCCCGGATCGGGCTCCGCCGACACCGCTCACGGCCACGCCAACGGCGGCGCCGACCTGTCCGTCTTCGAGCAGTTCCAGCGGATGGTAATTCAGTTCGGTCTTCTCGCAGAATGCTTCCATGTTACTACTACTTTGGTGACTTATACAGTTTCTCTCTGATTCTCTGTTGCAGGATAGAAATGTCGAGTTGCGCAATGGGGCAATGGATGCCGGGCCACCGTAAGACTCGTTGCTTGTACTTCAGCTAGTTTACTTGCCAACGTTTGTTTAATCTAAATTTAGCTAATCTGTAAAGTGCAGAGATAAGCTAATTCTGGGATGTTCTAACATTAGTAATCTCTCCGTATGGTACAATTTAATCGAGGCTGTACCAAGCTTTGCCATCCGCTTCACTTCTGATTCGATCTTAGCTCATATAGGTGTCAAATCACGCACTTCAATTGAGTTGACCAAATATAGGAATGGCTTCTTCATCCAACTGCCCAGCTGTGTCTGTCTTGCTCAAATCCAGGCATGCCAACTGGTGTTAGATTATTATTTGTGTAGCTTGTGCCGTAAGTAATTATATGCTTGCTACTAAACAACAACTCATGAAATGGTGGATACATTTTTTTTTGTTTATAGTTATGCTTTTAATGGATAAAAATTATATTGAAATGGCTGAAGGTCAGTGGAAGTTAGCGACCTGCGAATAGAAGTTTCTACCTGTTAATTTCTGGACTCAACTGTTAATTTTAAAGTATTTTGCTATACTGTTCGGTCCATGAATAAAACCGCCAGAGCGCATGCCTCTCTTTCACTTGTCATGCAAACATTTATCTTGTGAACTGTGATAACCAGATGTGCGACTTTTTGCAGGCAGAAATCCCTGCTTCCTTCTTTTGAATCTGCAGAAACACGCAACTTAGCCGAGACATTGTTGAGGTGACAGTCTAACCAAACATTTAGCTATCTTATGTTTGTACCATCTTGGCATTATCGTGTATTTCAGACCTTGACACCATAACTTCTTGGTGAAATGTGCTAATTCCTACAGGGATATCATTCGTGGGAGTCCAGATGTCAAATGGGAAAGCATTAAAGGTTTGGAAACTGCGAAGCGACTTCTTAAGGAGGCAGTTGTCATGCCTATAAAGTATCCCAAGTGGGTTTGTTTGCTCCCTGAAATGATATACACAAGTTGGACACTTCTTTTTCCTACTTTGTCGCTTAAAATGTGCTACACAGTTGTATAGAGTATATACCTATGACATGCATGTCTCAAACAGTTTGTTGAATCAAATTAAGTTTGTTGAATCAAATTTATGATTCAAACTTGACATGTTGGCATGTCAATTAAGTTCAACTTAATGTTAACATGTTCACGATGCCATTTCAAATACTGTTTACTTTAAGCCTTCCAAATACCTACTAGAAACTTCCAACGTGCTTTAAGGCCAATGTCTTTATAGCCAATCTGAGATAACTGAAAAATAATAACGCATGTGCTAATTTAGAACCTTTGTTCATCTTTGTTGAACTGATTGTCATCTGAGTACCTGGTTGCTTGGGAAAATAATTAATTTGTCAGTGAAGGACACTGGCTTTTTTTTGTACCTAAATGGTTAAGAAACTTAGTGGTTTTGAATTATGATAGATGCTGAATTTGTATCAATTAGGCAATGTTTTGCTAGTGGTTCTGTGGAATATTTTCTCCTTTGTTTCCTAATCAGAGTCAGATTTTAGGTACTTCACAGGTCTGTTATCACCCTGGAAAGGTATATTGCTATTTGGTCCACCAGGAACAGGAAAGGTTTGCACTTATGAAAACCTTAGCTTATTTTCTTTTACATTTTTCCTGTTTTTCTGGTGAAGCTATGCCCCCATGTTAACAATATTGTTAGCACTTCCTCACGGGGTTAAGTTGTGGAATAGTTTCTCTAAATATCTTAAACAATATGATTAAAAACAATTGTTTTGCATAAACATACCTTCAATTATCATTTTATATGCCATATTGGGATTTATTCAATTATTTGCTCAGCAAAGATATTACAGAGTTGAACTATTTTGCACCTAAACTAAATACCCATAGTAGTTGTGGTTGATCTGCTCAGCTACCGTCTCAACATTGCTATTGTGTCAATGAATGATTGAGATAAATAAAGATGCCTGTAATTATTCACAATTGTTTCTACACCAGCTTCTGTCTGTAATGTTCAGGATATCGGTAACTGGTACCATATCGTTTGGATGCTGAGTAGGGATTAATTGGCAAATCGGCCATTTAACTTAATTTATCAGTGACCCATTTCTTGGGAGGTTAACTAGGGCCATATCTATATATCCTAGGCTATATATAGCCAACATGCAATTTACCAAGTGTCTAAATATGCAATCCTAGGCTACATAGCAATAAGGAAAATTGTGCCTTGATGTTCTGATGATGTTGCAGCTGACCTGGAAGGCCATAAACCTGCACATAGATAAGTAGGGAGGGAACATGCCAGTTTTGGGCTAAAAAATAACTAGCAGTTAATTGGTCCAGCCGATAATTCGGCCTGACAGCTGATAAATCGGCTTGTCAGACAAATTAACTGGACCTACCAGTTAATGGCTCTAATAGCACGTTCCCGTATCGGGAGGGGTTCGAATAGAAGTTAGCTGACCATATCGGCATTCGTCAGTTAACTGACCGATATTTGGAACAGTCTCTGTTGTATCTTTTCATTTCAGCTGTATTATTACCGAAATTCCATATATTAACTGCCATGCTATGCATAAACTAAAATTGCTGACCGTCATCTAGTACAACAGTTGTGTTATAACTGCCCTCGTATGTTTAATTTCAGACAATGCTGGCAAAAGCTGTGGCTACCGAGTGCAAAACAACTTTTTTCAACATTTCAGCCTCATCAATTGTCAGCAAATGGCGTGGTATGTTTCCCCCCTCTTGTAATGTACAGTTGCATTGCTTTTCTGTTATTGCTGTTATCATTTTTTTACTGGGGTCATGCTTTACTGCCATACCATTTAAGTGTGACCATTTAATATATGTGGTATGCGTCTTTATGAGTTCCTATGAGCTTTTTTTAATGCTGTATATTGTTGCTACAAATTAGTATTAGATGCATGCTGTTGTATTTGGGAACTCCAAACCTGTTCTATCAAAACTAACTATTTGCAGATTGGCACAACTCGTTGCATTTATCCTTGCAAGACCCATGAAAGTTTAACACATGTTCTTTACAGCACCATGATATTAAGGTGCTTTGGTTTGTTGCCCATCTGAATCATACCAAATTGCGGTTACCAAGTGCGAACAAAAAATAGCTATCATTTGCTTGGTTCCAAAATTTTCTCTGCTTGCAAAAACTGGTGCTGCCAACCCCGAAAGGCGCAAACTCCCTGGACTTCTTGTGGGCCTGCCCAGTTTTTGGCAGCGCTCTTTCTTATTAGCTTTGTGACGCGTCGGTGCAATGTAGGATGTGGGAATAATTTTGATTATTACAGTGCTCCTAATTACCATATTTTCTTAACCACACATGATTTGTGATACATTTGAACAGTATTTTGTTTGTGATTTAATAAATGAAAAAGAAGACCCATACTGTCTATGTTTTGAAATAACATTCTTACAACTAAAATTTGCATTATGTAACTAAAAAACCATTAAGTAAAGATTGAGCCATTGCACCCTTGGACACCTTTTGCTACACATCGATGCCCTTCTGTTGCATCATGCAGTACTTGTAGCTCTTCCATGTACATTTTTTAACACTGGTACCCTGTTTGCACCACAGGTGCTCGTCTGCACCCTTGCAATCCATCTTCTGTTACCCAACTTTGCCCTCTTTGCGCCATGCATTATTTGCAGGTCTTGCTTAGTAATATTTTTCTGCTGGCTCCCTGCTTGCACCAAACCGATCTTTGTGGAATTTTCGCTTTCGGACATCAACATGGAATGCCGTTTTGAACTTCACCTTAATCTGTCAACATGGAAGAAAAGATATTTGCAATTGAATACTTCTGTCTACTAGCCTGTTGGAAGTCTTATCTGCCTCTAGATTGAACCTATAACCTCCAATGTAACATCATTGTTGTGCAACGATAGTTTTGCTTATTCTAATAGTTAGTATGCTACAGGTGACTCGGAGAAACTAGTAAAAGTCTTATTTGAGCTTGCAAGGCATCATGCACCATCTACCATTTTCCTTGATGAGATTGATGCTATCATTAGCCAACGTGGTGAAGCTCGTAGTGAACATGAAGCCAGTCGGCGATTGAAGACTGAACTATTAATACAGGTATTCTTCCTGGAGACTTGAAAAGCATGAATTATTATAAAATGCGTCAATGCTCACTTAATATTAGTTTCTCAATCGCAAAAAGAGTGAACATTGCTTTATGGAAGAAAATTAAGTGGAGAACAAGCCTTTAGACTCTCGTAGCTTGCATACATGAGACTGATGAAAGGCAGTCAGAACATGGAAATTTCGTAATGTTGACATGTTGAATAATCTTTCATTTCCTTAATTTCGTGATGAATTTCAATAATGGGCTGTTTTGACTCATCATTTTTGGTTGTTTCATAACATTTCACTGCAGATGGATGGATTGACTAAGACAGATGAGCTTGTTTTTGTTCTGGCGGCCACAAATTTACCTTGGGAACTAGACGCAGCAATGTTACGCCGATTGGAAAAACGTGTATCCTTTCCTGAAAATAGTAATTCTGAGTGCAATTGTGCATATAAGCTCTGAGAGCCCAGTTTCTGCTGTTATGGATGCCACCAGTTTCAGTTGGCAACAATGAATTTATCTTTTAAATGAACTTTTTAAGGCAGTTTATGTTTTACATATGCCATAAAATCCCCATGCTTCTCACTGAGAGGTAGTAGTACCTTTTTAAAATAAAACACTAGGCAATTCAACCTGTATATCTGGAAATGAGTGTTTGATCTTATTGGAATGCCAGTATTTGTCTGCAGGACCACTTGATTTCTGTACCTGAAGAAAACTATTTTTCGCTTAACTTGTCCAATCAGATTCTTGTGCCCTTACCAGAGGCAGAAGCTAGGCATGCTATGTTTGAAGAGTTCCTTCCATCGACTCCAGATACAATGGAGATTCCATATGATGTTCTTGTGGAGAACACCGAAGGATATTCCGGCTCTGATATACGCCTTGTCTGTAAGGAGGCAGCAATGCAACCACTTAGACGGTTAATGGCAGTTCTAGAAGGCAGACAAGAAGAAATGCCAGAGGATGGTATGTGCTCTATCCTTCACAAGTGATTGTCTACCTTTTCTGTAACTCTACTGTGTGTGCACGAGAACAAATGGCCACCCTTAACATAATAAAAAATAATGGTCAGCAAGTTGATGAAATGAAATTGATCTTACCACTCCATTGAAAAAGCCAAGTGATATTTACCGCCTTTTGGGGTTTAAAATGTTACAGAGTTGCCTGAAGTTGGCCCAATAGCGGCAGAAGATATCGAACTTGCCTTGAGGAATACACGGCCGTCTGCTCATCTCCATGCACATAGATATGAGAAATTCAATCAAGATTATGGCAGCCATGTCATTGGCTAAAGGTGAGCAGCAAAAAGAAGCGACGCTTTTGACCGACCACCTTGGATTTCTCTAAGCACGCCTAGAACATCTTTTTGCAGGAGCATGTTGATATGACCTTGTTTGCACCCTGTATGGAGCTTTAGTATTCGTCGGCAGAAAGGATAATTACCATCCATGTATTTCCAGCTCGTAAGCATTGCTTGTGCATAATATTTGTTCCATCATCATGTATATTACCATTTACATCACAAACAATAAGTCCTTTGGGTATTCAAGCTCTACTGACTTTTGGCTTGCCATCCCCAAACCTGTGGCGTCATTCGTTGGCGTGTATTTTATGGTGGGCAGCTTGAAGCTTTGGTCCTCCGTTTGTTTTCAAGCAATGTGCTCACTCCGATTCCTACAGCTTCTCGTTTGGACATGGCTAGATCAAGTTTAAAATTCTTTCCTACGATCGTTTAGGTTTAGCCACCCTCCTACAATGATGCTAGCTTAGCTTGGCACCGGAATATGAGCACATTGACCATGCTCTCAGTGCGGAGCAGTGGTAGCAGTGTTCAGTAGCAACTGGCATGTATCCTTGGCTTGGCCGGTTCTTGGGCAGGGCTCCAGCCTGCGGTCAGAGAGCTTTTTTTTAGAGAAAGCTATCATGACGAGCTTTAATGATTTGATAACATAATTTCATTGTTCACAAGACTCGAAAATAGAGCTAGGGGGATTACAACAATAACAACAAAGCCTTTTGTCCCAAACAATTTGGGGTAGGCTAGAGATGGAACTCATAGATCTGGCCGCATCCACCGTATGCAGGAACACCACCTCTTTGCAACACCCCTGGAAGGGAACCACCCAGGAGATGTGCGACAAAGGAGCGCCCAAACCCAAGGATGTCCGGAAGGAGTCATGGAAGGGGATCGCCACCAGCGTCATCTTCCTCGTGTTTTTTTTTTCGAGACATCATCTTCCTCGTGTTATTGATGCGGCTATGCCACGAAGCTTTTGCACTAAGGAATCTTTCATGTTAGCACAACATAGGGATAAATTCCTTCACAATACAAACTGACTGTCCGCAAACCATGAATGATGGAGGCTTCTTGGCTACGTCAGCGGATACAGTTTATGCCGATTGTAATGTTCTTCTTTCTGGGTTCGATAATGTTCTTCTTGAACATTGTAAAACGGAGGCCTATAAAGTGGCACATGAGCTTGCTAGGGGAATGCTCCATCTTTGACTCACACTTGTATTTGGGACGATAATCTTTATTTTTGATATTTATTTCAGAAGCTCCAGTGCATAGCCGTCGCTAAAGCGTGCTGATAATGTCAAGAGGGGTCGGGGTAGACCGAACTTAACAGAAGTCTGTAAAGAAATATCATCAAAGAACTAGTCATGGACAAGGGTGCGTGAAAACTTGCTATCCATATGCCAGAATCATGAGTTGGTCGCGAATGTCCTGACTGAGACCGGCGACAGCGGTTTGGAGCGGGTCAACCAAAGCTTGAATGTCGTTGATCTTGACATCCCGAGTGTTGAAGAGGGATCACAAAGTGGGATGAGGGAGCGAGGGTCTTGTGCCGCCCGTGTAGCAGGGGCGGAGCTCTCCATCATGAGGCGTCCTTCGGCTCCTGTGCCCGGGGCAATCTTGGTGTTGGTGGTGAAGTTGGTGTGGCCGAGAGTGACCTACAAGACTTTTGGAGCGCCAAACTTCTTCATCCGGGGCGGTGGCGTTGTGGGCCTCTTCGAGGCCAAATTCCTTAACCACTGTGTTGAGGGGTTGAGCGGCGTGGCCGCCGGTCGCCCCCTCCTAGGTGTGGGCGAGAGCTTCGGGCTCCACCTCTATCGTGGTGTCCTTTTTCTTCGACTCTGTCATTGAAGCTTTCTCCTTATATGTCTCAACTTCTTTCGGGGCTCGCTTTGGGGGCATCTAGTTGCGATGGTCAAGGCGACTTCTCCGGCATGGATTCCCCACGGCCGGCCCCAATGTTGACGTTCAAGAATCAACTTTCAACCTGGGGGGGGGGGTATCCTGAGTAGCGTGTAGCGTGGGTCGAGATTAGGGAGGCCGTGTACGCGGGCCTTACGCCGAAGGTCATCGTACACTCGACAAAGCGGCAAAATGATATTTTTGACTTAGACGCCTCGTGGGAGCGCGACCTACATCCTATGGGAGGGTCGTCGAGAGTGCTACCTGGGCACTTGGAGTGCAGCCTTTTCGGAGACCCGCGACTCTTCATGACTCTTCACTAGACTTAGCCTTACTAGGTTCCTCGGGCTCAGAGCTCATTGCCTTCCTTTGCCCCCCTAAAGGGGCTTGGAAGGGGAATGTGACCCTCCACTTAAGTTTACTCAAGTGAGAGTAAGTTACATGCCTATGGTTTTTTATAGCTCTGGGATCCTTAACAAATGACCAAGACTACTCTTGAAATAAGGAGATGGGAGGGTATGACTAGGTATTTTTTCGTTCTTTGGCCCAGGTGCTCTTTGTTAGGCTAGGAGGTGGGTTGTAGCCCATTAGAGCATCTACAGCCATACTTGGCAAATTCGGTCCACTATACGCCCGCGGGTGCCTCCGCGGACAGCCCCCGCCGGTCCCTCATATGGGCTGCCGCACATCCACATATCTCAAATGCGGAACCTCAAATCCATGCAATCCATGCACTTTGATCATACGATACAAATTGTCCGAATTCAATAGTTCAAAACAAAGAAAAGCAAACCATAGTTCAACAATTCAGACATACCAAAATGAAATCCATGTACGAGCGTCACAGATGCCTCGCTTGCTGGCCGGATCACTCGTCGGACGCCATCCATGCCTCCTGCTCTGAGGCCATGCTTGCGTCCAGCTCTGCCTACATTCGGGATGCATGCTCTACCTGCATCCTTGTCGCATGCTCCGCTGCTACTGCAGCCGCTCTCGCCGCCTCGTATTCCCTACACTCGTTGATCTCCTTATTCTTCTCCGCAAGCCACTTCTTTGCATGCTCATTCAAGAGGGTTTCGTCCGCCAACATGATCTTCGCATCCTCCGTGTCCCGTGCGAGTTGCAACCTCTCCTCAAGCTCAATCTCTCCAAATGTCTTGGCCTTCTCGAGCTCCCATTTGATCGCTGCCTCTTGCTTCTCCAACTTGATTTTCTCCCTCTCAAATTCCAGCTTCTTCTACGCCCTCTTCCGGTCCCAATCCATCCTCTCCTTTTGCGCATACAACATGAGCTTGTAGCTCTCCTCCTTCTTGTTCTCCCTCGCCGAAAAAATGCCTGTCCATGTGGAGGACATTTTTATAGCCGCGGCATCACGGGAGGCCCTTGCCTTCACTCACTTGTTTCCTATGACTTGCGGTTATCCTTTGGCACGGTGGCTCTTCCATTCTCGACGATAACTGTTGGGAAACATAGTAGAAAAAATATTGCCCTACAAACACGCAGGAACAATATGAGATGCATATAGGGTTTGTATCAACGATTGTTACCGACTCCGGAGTGCAACAGAAGAAGACAAGTTGATGTAGATCGTACTTGGAGTCCCACGAATGTTGATGACGATCCCGTGAACCACCCTCGAACAGAATACTGAAGGTGCGACCTCTCTACTTGGTTGCAAGCGTACGGTCTTCACAATCCGGCAGTGCTTCGCCGTCCAGAGATAATCATTGCCAGAGAATTAGAGGGAGGAGATTAGAACCACACTCGGCTTCTAATTATGAGGATTAGAGGATTTAGGTCAAGCCCTAGTTGATCAACTAGGATCAACTAGAACTAGAGGAACTAGAGGAGGCTCCAAAACTTGCGTGTCAAAATGGCCTAATATCTCAAGTATATATAGGCTGGGAGGGGAGTAGGGGGCATGACACAAGGGAGGGGGATCCTCCCTCCTTGCATCGGCCCTAGGGGGAGGAGGATTCCTCCCCCAAGTCCAATTTGGCCTACCTCAAGGGGGAAAGGGGGCGTCTCCCCTACATGGGCCTTGGTGGCCCAGTTCTCCCTCCACTACTTGGCCTTTTAATGCCCGTTGATATTAAATTAAATATAAAAGCCCTCTAACAATTACTAGGGCATGTTATATATAATTTAATATCATCTAAACATTTTCTACCTATATATTATTTATCGGCAATACCCGATATTGCCCGATAATCTCTGAAACCCTTCTGGTGACCCCCAAACTCTTCGATTTACTCTCAAAACTATTCCGAATATTAATGAAACAATTTCACAAATAAATCCTTGATACTCTTGTCCTACTAACACTCAAAAGATTATGATTACCTTAAGCTTGTGACCCCGTAGGTTCGGTAAATCATAGACATGAACAAAGCCCCTTCGTTCAATGACCGATCGTGGAACCGTGGTCGTCCATATCAATCCTTGTGATTATACGAATGACATTCGAGTGAACCTTTTATTATCATGTGATGTTCCCTTTGCTTTGCGATACTTTACAAAACCTGGGATGCATCGGTATCCTCCCGAGTCATACACATGCTCATTATACCGTCATCCTTGTACCGGTTTTGTTCTTCTTTCTCGTTGATATTTTCCAGCATCCTCGTAACATAGTCACATGTGTCTAGACAGACGATGACGGATGTCGTCATACCGAGAGGGCCCTAAGAATATCTCTCCATCGCCAGAGGAGAAAATCCCACTCTCGAGCTATCTAGTCCCTTGTCAAACTTTTCGATGAACCCGTAAGTTGTCCTTATGATGACCTAGTTACAGATGACGTTTGAGCAATCCCAAAGTCCATTGTACGGTAAGAATTGACTATGATACTCTCATGGTCTGAGGAACTAAAAACACATGTTAACACCCCATGTTATAACAATTGATTTATGACAATATTATCTCAAAGTATAACAAACAAGTTTGGGTCAATTCAATATGATTGTTCTTCTAACGTCATACTCTCAATGTTGTTTTAGGACTATCGTTACGCTTAACGATATCCTAAGATCCGGAAAACATGATCACCAACAACACTTGAGCCAGTCTTATAGGCAAGACCAGGAGCCTATT